TGGACTAGTGTCTGTGAATATTAAGCCGCAAAAAGACAATATATGAATCCTGCACGTTTTGCGTGTCTGTCTTTGTTCAGTCATCACTCAAAATACTGTATAAAGGACATCATTAAGACAACCTTATGTGAGGTCCATGCAAAAAATAGGGTTGTCCATGTTTCAGAATTTGTTGTGGGTGTATGTGTGAGAGATTTTCCGGCCTGAATTTTTTTTCCGTCCGCCCCTCGTGGAAATTAATATATAATTTTTATATAAAATATGAGTACATGAACACATAAACATAATCTCTAGAACTGCTCTGAGTTACTTCATGAGCATTTTTCTTATTTTGAGAAAACTATCGCAGTAACCTTCCTAACACTGGTTAAAATGAATTTAAGCTCAAATGAAAGCCTGGAACTCACAGTTTAGTCGATCCTGAGCTTCTACCGCACAGCACTGCCGTCCAACCAATCAGAATGACGCCTCGCAGCATCGAGCCAATCAGAGCGCACGAACGGAAGCCCCGCCCGCGCGCTAAATGCTGTGGGCGGGGCCTGGCGGGATGAATGAGTGAAGAGCGCACGCTCTCGGCGCCAAAGAGAAACTTTCCTCCGCGCTTCATCGGTGTTTATTGATTAGTTTCATTGATGTTCCTCAGAAGTTTAGTTTCTTTAGTTTTCATCGGTGTTTTAAGTCGCGATCCCGAAGGTTACTTTAGTTTCACGCTGAAAAACTGAGGCTTTATCGCGCCATTCCTGCAGGAAGAGAAGAACGAGTTTAAAATGGCAGATGATTCTGATCAGAGATCAGTGTTAATGGAGATCCCAGAACCACAGGCCAAAATCACAGGTGAGGACATCTTCATCACCACCTTCATCTTCTTCATCATCATCATAACAATCATCTTCATCATCTTCTTCATCATCATCATCATAACAATCATCTTCATCATTCAGAAACTTCAGAGTTTCAGTGCTGAAATTATTATATGGGTCATTCCTGGGATTCGGTAATATTTCAGTACTCCAGACTTTTAAAAGTGCTGGTTCACTAAAATGAAGTTTTAAAAGCTTTTTACAAGACTTTGGTATGCCCATTATAATGAATAAAAAATAATAATTGCAGTTTTAGCCTATAATAATGTCTTATTTGTATCTTACACCAAGCATTTTGTCATGTCTCCGAGGAAATTATTAACAAAATGTGCAGTGTCTATAAAAATGCTTACATTATTGCAAAAAAAAATAATGGCAATAATATAAGCATTTATTTGTGATTTTTTTCCCTTGTGAAAATATTTTTCTAAAAAAATGCAAGATATTTTATATATATATATATATATATATATAAATAAATAAATATAAATAAACAGACTTTAAAGTCCCTCAGTCTGAACCCAACCCCGTCACACTAACAATTCTACACGAGTAATTTAATAATCCACTCATATGTGACATAATTTAGCAGAAATCACATCATTCAGGTCTCTTTAATAGTGGCGCGGAAAATGGTTAGTAGCATCATACTTTTTATTCATATTTTCAGGCGTATTATATGCAGGGAGCGTACGGTCGTCAAGCTTAACTCAACCCCGTCACATAAAGTTAAGATGGAAACTTACTATTTTTCAACATTTTATTTGAACCCGTAAGTATATAGAATGAACTTATTTTATTGCTGCCATATATGTTCCACTCTCCTACACTTCAGGAAACACAACCCTCTCACAAATGCATTTCTCATTGTTTCGGGGTTGTAAACTTGTGACAGGGTTGAGTTATTTACTTCATTTATCAATAACTTTAATTAAAAAAAAAAAAAATAGTCATGGTTTCAGTAAATATATTCTTACCAAAATCGTGACCGCTCATATTTTTGTTATAAATAGAATATTTGATGTAATATGTTAATATGCACATTAGCAGCAGAAAGACATGATATTTTGACCCAGAAAGAAGGGGAGAATATGAGAGAGAAATAAAACTGAAGGCAATGCATCCCTTCAAATGTGTTACAGTCTTCAACCCCGTCACATTAATATTTATGGGAAAAAAACAGGGAAGACAATTAAGAATGAAAGCATTTCTTGCTGATTACCATCTGACATGTTAAGGACTAAAACAATAAAATTGTGGTTTTAGATAAACATTTAAATTCAAAAAAAAAATTTTTTTTTTTTTTTTACAAAAATAAAGAGACCATAGACACACAATTTGTCTATTTTTAACTATAAAAAAATGTGAACATTATGATAAATGTTATGTTCGTTATCATTAAATTGCTATGAGGGACACATGAGCATGTTTGTTTTATAACAAGTTCTGTGTAAAATCCTTTTTAAACTAATTCCATTTTGGGGTTGAGAATAAAAGGTGTCTAAATCTGAAAATAATAAAAGGTCTTTATTGCCTGAGGTGGGGAAATATGATTTGTTGGATGTTTGATGTGTGCCTTATGATGTGGGGTATTTAGAAAATTAATCATGTGTAGTAGAAAAAAATATATATTCCAAGTTAAGATGTTACCGAATCCCAGGAATGAATGTTTGATAGTTTGTTTATAGTCATGGAAGTTAATAGAGTCTTAGAAGGCCAAGAAAAAACAATGGAACATTCTGGAGTCAGTATAAAGTCTCTTTTATTTCTATAGTGCTTTATGCGATTCTGAGCAGCTTCACAGAAAAACAAACAGGAGAATAAGAAAATCACTGATGCAAAGTTTCCAGATCAGTCTGATTTTCTCATCCAGTCTTCACAAACAACAACAGCAAGCAGAGAAAACCCTTGGATATGAAGCCGCAACTTCTGCTGACAATCATAAAGATATGATGATGATGATGATGAAGGTCTTGATGTATTTCACCTCATCGCTGTCAAATGTCTGTGCTGACACCGCTTTCCTTCATCAAAAGCCTCATAAGTCAGTTTTCCCCCCGCAGGACGTCTGAGAAGATCCTACATGGATATCCTGTCCGGCGGTGCGAGACACGGGACGCACGGCTGCGGCGTGAGACCTGGACACGCGTGTGAGTAACCCTGAGATGTGTGTGCATGTGTGTGTCGTGACGTCAGTGCTCACAGACGCTCTTCTGACTCTGAAGGGGACGCAGGTTCAGGGAGACGCCGGAGCAGAGGCGGTTTGGACGCGTGTGAGACGTCCGTCTCCAGAGAGCTGCTCCGCAGTCTTCTGCTGGCCGAGCAGGTGAGAGCAAACCCCCGTGTCTTTACAAGCATGCGCGGTTACGCTAGCGTCTCGTGATCGTGCCGTTTCGTGCTCTCAGTCCGTTCAGATTTTAAAGTCTGAACTGAACTACAAAATGATGACAAATGACGTGCACAAAATTATTGTGATTAATAAATTACTCCGTTCAGTTGTTTCACTGCGTGGCCGGTGTTGTTGATGAAGTGTGATGTGGTTGTGTTTGTGCAGCGCTCGTGTCAGGACGGAGGCCATCTGCTCCTGCAGAATGCAGAGTGGGAGAAGCTGCTGGAGTTCGTTCAGGCGGCGTGTCGCTACACCAGTGAACTCCCGCAGTGGGAGACCAGCACCCATAATGCACTGCGAGAGCACTGCTACAACACGCTAGCAGCGTTCTGTACCGCGGCGCTGCAGAAACACAGACCCGCCGCGCGCAGAGCTCGAGAACTGCTGCGCAGGTGAGCAAACACACCAACACACTCGCGTGATTCTGTGTCACACACACACACACACACACACACACTGCAAGAGCGATTTAAAATGTGACTTTTAATACAAATAAATAGAAGAATTTATTGAGCCGCAGATTGAGATCACAATGATGCGCTTCACTATGAAACACTGTTTGGGTTTTATTTCAATGAATCGTGCAACCCTGAGCTCTCGTCAGTCTGCTTCACTCCTTCTGATTGTTGTTTTTTTCTCGTAGGTTCAAAATGGCTCCGGTGTCGAGGCGAGCGATCGGCCCGTGTTTAGAAGAGCTGGAGAAGATCCTGCAGGAATATCAGAGCGGAAAATCACAAACACAAATCCACCCGTGAGTCTTGCGTTCAGACGAGAGCGCTGCTGATGAGTGACGTCACTGAGATCTCACTGTGACACACGTCGATCCATCAGACCATGAGACCCATCAGAGCATGTGACCCATCAGAGCATGTGATTCACCCATCAGAGCATGAGACCCTCCCATCAGAGCATGTGATTTGCCCATCAGAGCATGAGACCCATCAGAGCATGTGACCCACCCATCAGAGCATGTGATTCGCCCATCAGAGCATGTGATTCGCCCATCAGAGCATATGACGCCCATCAGAGCATGTGACCCGCCCATCAGAGCATGAGACCCACCCATCAGAGCATGTGAATCGCCCATCAAAGCATGTGAATTGCCCATCAGAGCATGAGACCCACCCATCAGAGCATGTGAATCGCCCATCAGAGCATGTGATTTGCCCATCAGAGCATGAGACCCATCAGAGCATGTGACCCGCCCATCAGAGCATGTGATTTGCCCATCAGAGCATGAGACCCATCAGTGCATGTGAATCGCCCATCAGAGCATGAGACCCATCAGAGCATGTGATTCGCCCATCAGAGCATGTGACCGTCAGGCCACACCTGCCTTACTTTAGTGATGCAAGGTAGAGGTCTACACGGAGGACCCGAGACCTGAGGACCCGGGATCCGTACGGGTTCGGGGCTATATTTTAAATGGTCAGCCGGGTCCGGGTCGGGTCCCAATCTATTACTTCGGGTCCCGGGTCTGTTTAACATTGTGTGTAATACCCGAGTCGATCGGACTCGGAGAACACCCGGCCGTTATCAGAGTCAGTCAGCGCTGTGCGTGTGTTG